TTCCAGACCAGCCGCGCAAGACGCAAGAACAGTGTCTTACTTAAACATAGAAATGAATTATCTGGAGCAACTTAAACTATAATATAATATAGCACCATACAACAACACAACATACTATCACTATCAATATAGTATAATATGATACCCTACCTATATAAAATCTAGGCCAGGCATCTGGTGGGCGCACGCCTGTAGTCCAGCTACTCCGGGAGCGCTGAGTTACGGAGGCCTTGCTTGAGTCCAGGAATCTGGAGGTGCTGTCGAGCAGGCTGACGCCATGGCACTCTAACGCCAGGGCAACAACAGTAGATTGGTTCTTTTGTTTTTTTTTTTGAGACAGGTGCTTGCTTTGTTGCCAGGTAGAGAGAGTGGAGTGCGTGGCATTCAGCCTAGCTCACCCAGCAACCTCAAACTTCGCTGGGTCAAAGCAATCTCCTGGCCTTCAGCCTCCGAGTAGCTGGACTACAAGGCCGTGCACCACCCATGCCTGGCTTAATTTTTCTTATATTCTTTAGTTGGCAATTTAATTTCTTCTATTTAGTAGTAGGAGAGGGGGGTCTCACTCCTGCTCAGGCTGCGTCTCAAACTCCTTGAGCTCTCCAAACGATACCGCCGCGCACTGGGCGCTTGTAGAGGTGGTAGGATTAACAGGTCGTGAGCCGACTGGAGACTGGCAGACCAGGCTTTTTTTTTTTTAAACGGGTCTCACTTTGTTGCCCAGGCAGAGTGAGTGCCGTGGTGTCAGCCTAGCTCACAGCAACTTCAAACTCCTGGGCTCAAGCAATCCTGCTGCCTCAGCCTCCCGAGTAGCTGGGAACAGGCACGTGCCCACCATGCCTGGCTAATTTTTTCTATATATACTTAAGTTGGTCAATATATTTCTTTCTAATTATAGGTAGAGATGGGGTCTTGCTCTTGCTCATGGCTGGTTTCGAACTCCTGACTCAAGCAATCCGCTGCCTCGGCCTCCCAGAGTGCTAGGATTACAGGCGTGAGCCAGCACGCCCGGCTGAGACTCTGTTTCTAATAAATAAATAAAGGTTGAAAGAGTTCCCCTATGAAACCATCTTGGGCTTTACAACTACTTTGTTGTTTCTATGGTAGTCTGTTTAGACTGCCAACTCTACGGGGGTCAATTTTGATAAGTTGTCTTTTTCTAGAAAATTGTCTACTTGCCTACTTCATGTAGGTTTTCCATTATATTGCATATAGTTGTGGTAGCACAGGGTTTTAAAAAGTGGGAAAATTTACATGGAAGTCTAGACTTCTGCCATTTTTCTTTTTAGAGATTGGGTCATGCCCAGGCTGGTCTCAAACTCCTGGCCTTCAAGTAAGCCTCCCCAGTAGCGAGGATTACAGGTGTGAGCTGCCCCCCCAGCTCTCTGCCTTCTCTTTAAAACCCAGAAGATGTGGCCACACCAGGCCCTGCATTCCACCTGGAAACAGTCAGGTGGAGCTGTGTCAATGGCTCTCATTTTCTTTCTGCTCCCATCACTGCCTGTTGTCTTATAGCAAACCTCTTTGTGACCCTGAGATAAGATAGAAGTTAGATAGAGTCTGCTTTTCTTGGTGGTTGTTAGGGGCTATAGTTTAAGCAGCCTGAAAAAATAAGATAAGAGTCCAAAAACAGAAAAGTTGAACTCTGTCTGGGGCGGCAGGGACTAAGATTTCAGTTATCTGGAAGGACTCACTGACCTCAAGACAGCTCTTAGCTTGTGACCCTAAATCTTCTATTCCCATCAGTAAGAAACAAAACTTCATTCCACATTTAGAGGGAATGAAGGAAAGAGACCAAGATTTACTTAGCTCCCCTTCTGTCACTAAATCATCACAAGAATTCCTGTGAGGTGTCACTATTCCCATTTTGCAGATGAAGGAGGATCAGTGGTATGGGGAGTAGTGGGGTCAGGATTTGAACCCGAGTCTCAGTCCACATGTTATGCATGGTTTTTCTGCTGCACTGGCATTTCCAAACCGGGCTGCTCATCAAACTCACTGGGGGAGGCCTATAAAAGAGTACCTATTTGCAGATCCTACCTCTGACCTATTCAACCAGGTTTCTTCAGTGAGGCTGAGAAATCTGTATTTTAAACAACTATGTATGCAGTTATTTGATTACTGTCTTCCTACTAGATGAAAGCTTCATGAGGGCAAAAGGCATATCTGTCTTATTCAGTGATATAGAGGCGAGGGCAAAACAAATATTTGCTGAGTGATTAAACGTACAAACTTCATATCCCTGACCAGCTGATGGACCAGCTGTGAAGAGCTATTTATGACAAATTCTCTGGCATAGTTCTCTCATACTTCAGTGCACATTTAAAGAATCGCTTGGTATCTTAGTTTGGGCTGCTGTAACAAATTACCGTAGACCGGGTGGCTTAAATAACAAACATTTGTTTCTCACGGTTCAAGAGGCTGGAAGTCCAAGATCAAGGTGTAAGCAGATCCTGTGTCTAGTGAGGGCCCTCTTCCTGGTTTGCAGACTGAGGTCTTCATCGTATCTTCACACGGTAGAGAGAGCAAACTCTCATTTTTCTTATGAGGGAGAATCCTATTCATGAAGCCTCCACCCTCAGGACCTAATTACCTCCAAAGGTCCCACCTCCTAATACTATCACTCTGGGGCACAGGATTTCAACATAGGAATTTGCGGGGATGGGGGGAACCATAAACATTCAGTCCGTGGCACTTGGGTTGCTTATTTTTTTAAAAGTGCATATTCTGGAGATTCTATGTTTGAGAAACACAGGTTAGCTACATAAAATTTTGATGGCTGGAATTTTCCTTGGTCTTTGAAAAGGGTTAAGACAGTAGGCATCATAGAAGTCCAGGGGCCTCTGAAGACAGCCTGTCACCATTTAGCGAAATACCCAGGGAGAGACTCAAGTGGATGAGAAACCCTGTGACAGGGACACCTGTCTAGGTGATAAGCCACGTAGAGGATTCTACTGGGACCAGTTACACACAGCAGACAGAAGAAATCACTCTTAGAAGTGACTATGGCTTGGCCCTAGCATCTTTTGCGCTGGAGGTCAGCTTTGCTTCAGAATCCTAACTGGGTTTGTGTATGTGATAAATTTGACTTTGGAGCCAGGCCAGTGCACAGCACCACTGCTCACTGATTGTGTGACCTTGGGCAAGTTGTAAATCTCCTGTGCTTTAGTTTTGTCATGTTTAAGGTAGGGCGATGGGCCAGGCGCAGTGGTTCACGCCTGTAATCCTAGCACTCTGGGAGGCCAAGGTGGGTGGATTGCTTGAGGTCAGGAGTTCAAGACCAGCCTGAGCAAGAGCGAGACCTCGTCTCTGCTATAAATAGAAAGAAATTAATTGGGCAACTAATATATATAGAAAAAATTAGCCAGGCATGGCGGCATGATGCCTGTAGTCCCAGCTACTCGGGAGGCTGAGGCAGAATGATCGCTTGAGCCCAGGAGTTTGAGGTTGCTGTGAGCTAGGCTGACGCCACGGGACTCACTCTAGCCTGGGCAATAAAGCGAGACTCTGTCTCAAAAAAAATAATAAAGTAGGGCCATCACTACTTACCCCACAGGATGATTGTGGTAACCAAGACAGCGTACACAAGACAGAATGATGCCTGGCACCCAGCAGGTACACAATCACGAAAGTCAATTACTCCTCCTAGACTGTGAGTGCCAGAGTGTTACTCTGTATCCCAGAGTCTAATACAGGCCCTGGCTCAGCAAATGTTGAATTAATGAATAAAGGACAAAGGACTAACTTACAAACTATTGATAAAATCATCCATCATATGATGTTTTATAATTAACTTCAATGTGTAGTAATGTCTAACAGTGAGACTATATCCAGTAAAGAATTGGGAAATAAGGCCATACCATAAGCCAAGAATGCCTTGTTTAGGAGAGGAGGGATAACAAAGCTGGTTGCTGTGAGATGCTGTGGGTTTTGACATACAAACCCACTTGATGCATGCAGGGCTAAAGCAAGCCCTTGGCTCGTTAGCAAATGCTAACACTCCTGCAGCTCAGCCAGAGCCAGCAGAGCAGGTTCTTAAGTCCTTGCCAACATGACCTTTCCACATCAGTGTTCTTATGCTGTCATCAGGATGCCAGTGTAAGACTGAATAGGCCTACCTGGGCCCTCTTACCCCCAGAGACTGAAAGGTGGGGTGGCATAAACCTTACAGATAATCTGGGTGTCAAATCCTTCCTTTGCCACTGAATAGCTATCCGACCTGGCCATGTTATTTCATCGCTTTGAGCTGTAGTTTCTAACGGTAAAGTGGGGTTGCCAGCTCAGTCCCAGGGTTCCGAGTATAACAAGGGGCAGTGCCTATCCCCAGCAAGTGCTCGTACATCTGAGTCCCCTCCCTTTGCTCGTGGGGGTCTTTCCCCCTGAAATTCCCTTCTTCTAGTCCTGCTAAGCTACCAACACAAGTCCAACATCCTTTAAGGCCCAGCCCAAGGATTAAGACCTCTGCTTCACAGCCCAGGAATCAGATGTTTTGTGACCAACTTCTTTTCCCTGACACAGTAAGGAAGAAAGACACAGTATGTGGAGTTTTTTGTTTTTTATTTAGACATGGAATTTTCCTTTTCATATAACTTATCTAATTAAAATATTCATCTTGGTAGTTACCACAAAAAAGTAACATAGAAAATTGTATTTACATTTTGGGACCAAAATACAAATAAAGAGCAGGATGACACCTTGCTCCTTTCCCTCCCACTACCCAGAAAGAAAGAGAAAGCCCCAAAGAAACTGCTCATTACTCCAAGGATCACAAAGGGGTAATCTGTAATTTGTGATTTGTATGTAGTGTAGCACAGAAAAAAATTGCACACGTTTTCACAAATGAGACCAAAGGTTCAACATTATCCCGTGTCTGCTCTGCAGCCATTTTAATAAGCCGGGTGAGGAAGTTGTTTAGAAATTTGGTTTTTCCTCTCCCCCCTTACTGTTCATACCAAGTCACATCCCTGATGCAGACACTCTTGAGGGGTTGGGGAAGATCTGGCTCTATGCAATCAGAGTTCATCAAAAATCTTTATGTGCCCCAAATGGATACTGATGTTGGGATGAATAAATATGTGTCTTTTCTTCCCTCCCTGCCTAAAGACTCCTAATAAGTGAAATTAAATCATACACAACTGAATCTAAAATATGAAAAACTGCTTTTAATGACAAAGACTTAGCTAAGAGACAAATTCAAGGTGGTGGACACCTAGAAAAAGCTATTCTAGGCAACAGATGTCTGGCATCTGACTCAAATGTTCACTTGGTTTCAGGTAAGAGGTTTCCTAATAGTAGGTTTGGGGAGCAGACTAAGGGATGGAGTGGAATGGTGGTATAAGGAACCAAGAAAAATAATGCTTTATCCAATTAAAAAATACAGCAAATTAAAACACAGCAATCTTTGTGTCCTGTCACAACAGGCACCCTGCACAGCAACACACACTGACCACCGCAGAGCTTTTGCTGTACAGATTTCCTGCGTTGCTCTGGAAGCCAAAGGGGCCCTGGGGTCTCCAGGATGGTTAAAAGCAGGGGGCTCTGTATTCTGGCCTTTGAGAAAACTTGTCGAGGGGACTGACTGCCAAAGTTGTTAGGCTGTCACATTAATGATCCCCTCTGTCTGCTGCTCAGGTTTCTTAAGGATGCATATCTCAAATTCATAGCATCCGCCTCCACCTGGGTCACAACCAAGAAGGTTCCTACTAGATCTGTGTTCTTCACAACAGGAAGAGGAATAGCCAGGAAGAGGGCTGACGCTGCCCTCCTAGTTCTGATCTTGTTCCTATGTCAACAGGAAAGTGAGAGCTGGCTTTCCCGACCTTGATGGATGCCGATGTGGTTTCCCCCATCCTGATGCTGCAGCTCAAACACTTTCCCTATGCTGGTCCTTCCCACGGAATCCTGGCTTACACACTTAAAAGGCAGAGAGCTTCAGCTGCAAAACTCTCTAGCAAACACAGCCAACTGTTGTGCTCTTCCAGTCACATGATCTTACCTTTTAAAGAAAAGGTAAAAAAAAAGCCAATTTCCAACATAGCATTGCAACTTTTAAAACCATTCACCTCTCATAGCAATTCACAGGGCAAGAGATTAAAGTGCTGGCTTTTAAAACTCTAAAGTTGTATTCAGGGCTATGAAAAGCCCTGCCATGTGTGTGTTTTTCCCCCATGCTGGTGAGAAGAAGGAAAAATAGGAAAAGGAGTAAAAAAAAAAAAAAAACGTAAAATTTTGGATCAGAAACTGGAAATTATAAAAATGCTGGGGTTCTGTGTAAATTAATCTCTCAAGGTTCTGTGGCCTCAAAGAAAAAAAAGGTGGGAATTGGCCAAAAGGATGAGAGAAAGACTCTAGACCTTTACAAAGAACTTCCCTTAATAAATATCATTTCATGAGTAAGAAAGAGATGCACCTGCATGGAACGCAGCAATACTGAAAAGGGTCTGAGGCAGAGCCCACGTGAATGCTCCTGTTTCAGATTGCACCTCCCTACAGGACAGGCAGTCTGGCACTCACTTCTCACCCCAGAAGCAGACACCCTGCAGGATTTGGGGACGCTCAGTCCTCTGTCTGGACCAGAGTCCGCTCAGGAGAGCCGAGCTGGGACAGGGGAATGGCTTTCACTAGGTTTTCATCTAACTTTAATAAAGGACCAGAAAATAAAAGGCTAAGTGTGTGGTAGTGGACAAAAAACAGAAACAAACAAAAAAAAATGGGGGTAATATAAATACAATCTGGGGGCAATATTTATTAATTAAAACTATGTCTTATAGTTTACAAAGATGCTAATGAACAACAAAAGTATAATTGACCTTAAAATCCTCAGTGAGCCTGAGGCTTCACATCTTCTCCAGAATTCTGAAGTGTGCTCCGAGCAACGAGGCAGGGCCTGCAGCACGCAGGCTCCCGGGGCAGCGCCTGCAGCCTGCAGGACGCGGAGACCAAGAGGTTCCTCAAAGCAAAAGATTCCGGTCTCCCTTGGAAGTTCCATTCCCCAATCCCCATTTGTCCTTGTATTCCTGCCCCCTAGATTCCATCCAAGGCAAGTCCTCAGTTTATCGTCGGGAGAATCTGTTCTTGAAAGCTTTAATCGTCTTGGCCATCATCGGGGCAATTTCTGTGAAATGAGGCAGTTGTTTGAGATCCATGGCAGCTCAGACACACCCCTGGTGGTTTATAGTCAAAGCCAAGCCTACGCTGGCTGTGCACCACCAGAAAACAGACAAAAGGAGTAACGATCTGCTCACTCTGCAGTACAAGCAACAGCTCATCATCACAAACACTTTCTGAGGATCTGCCAGGTGCGAAACAATCACTCTCCGATTCTAGTGACCTGTACCAAAGCTCAGAGAGACTGGCCAACTTGCACATAGTGGTACAGGAAGTGGCAGAACTGGAATTTGATCTCTGCCAGACTCTAAAGGCCATACTCAACCACAGTTCAAGTCTGCCTCACAAACAGCCAAACCAGTAAACAGCCCCCAGGCCCCCAATCTGTCTGGTGTGGCAACAGGTCTAAGATGAGCTCTACAAATACCACCCAAGGAGGGCTAGCCTGCGTCTTGACTGGCTAACCTAAGCACAGCTAAAGCCCAAGCCAGGACCACCACCCTCCCATGGGCCCCACAATGAATGCATGAATACAATGAATACCATGTTTTCCCAAAAATAAGACCTACCCATAAAATAAGCCCTAGCAGGATTTCTAAGCATTTTCGCAATATAAGCCCTACCCCGAAAATAAGACCCAGTGATGGGCGTGGCTATGCAGCATATCTGCACAACCCACGCATTTCGTTGCAGAGCAGTAAAGACGAGGAGCAGCCCTTCTCATCTGCCCCATAAGAGCTCTACTGCTCGACATGAGATTGGGGCCAATGGTTCTAAAGGAAATAGAGTCGCAAGAAATTCAGGATGGAATTTGGGGTTTGGAGAGTTATGATGATGTTCCAGAAGACGACGACTTAACTCTATTTGAATAAATGTAGATTGTTGTACTGTACTTAAAAAAAATAACACATCCCCTGAAAATAAGCCCTACAGTGTCTTCTTGAGGAAAAATAAATATAAGACCCTGTCTTATTTTCGGGGAAACGCAGTAATACTTTTCTTAAGTTAGGACACACCCTTAAGATACTAAGGATAGTCTATGGTAATAAAGTTAATAAAGGCAGGGCACATTGATCATGCCTGTAATCCTAGCACCCTGGGAAGCTTAGGTGGGAAGACTGCTTGACCTCAGGAGTTTGAGACCAGCCTCGGCAAGAGTGAGACCCCATCTCTACTAAAAATAGGAAAATTAGCTGGGCGTTATGGTGTGTGCCTATACTCCCAGATACCCAGGAAGCTGAGGCAGGAGGATCGCTTGAGCCCAGGAGGTTGAGGCTGCAGTGAACTGTGATGATGCCACTGCATTCTAGCCTGGGTGACAAAGTGAGACTCTTGTCTCAAAAAAAATAAATAAAGTTAATAAAATACAAAATAGACCCAACTAGAAACAAAGAATAAATATTTGGAAGCTAGGGTTATAAGGTTAAAAAAACTGCAGTAAGATGGACTATCATTTAGCTGTTAGTGATTATGAACTGTGTGTTATCACCCAGAGAAACAGGTTTACATTTAGGTGAAAAAAGCAGAATGCCAAAATTAAACATTTACTATGATCATTATTTAAAAGATACACGTCAGCCTGGGGAACATGGCAAGACCCCATCATCTCTACAAAAAATTAAAAAATTAGCCTGAGCAAGAACGAGACTCTGTCTCTACAAAAAAAAGAAAAGAAAAATTAGCCTGGCTACTCAGGAGGCTGAGCCAGGAGGATCACTTGAGCCCAGGAGTTTGAGGTTGCAGTGAGCTATGATGACACCACTCTAGCTTGAGTGACAGAGTGACACCTGTCTCAAAAAAAAAACATCAAGTAGGCTGGTAGCATGTGCCTATAGTCCCAGCTACTCAAGAGGCTGACGCAGGAGTTCCAAGCTGCAGTGAGGTATGATCACGCCACTACACTCCAGAGCAAGACCCTGTCTCAAAAAAACAAAACAAAATGAAACAAAAAACGATGTGTGCTATGTATGGACAAAGCAGGAAAAAGGAGAGACTAACATTTAGGTCAGCTATGTACCTATGTGCAGGGCACATACACATGCTACAGCCAACACAGTGATAATGACATTAAAGGGGCTAAAAAAACCCCCTAGTTTTGAAATATATAAGCAGAAACTCCAAGTTACTTACTCTTCACAGTGGGTTTCCTGGGATCATAGGAAACAGTGCTGCTGACCACCGGCGCCAAGTGGGCGCTGCTGGTGCTCGGGCCGTCGTAGGCTGGCTCCTCCGGGCTGGGGTTAAAGCTGTTGCTGCTGCCAGTGCTGGCTAGAGCATGGCTGTTTCCTGTGGGGTACGGGGCTGGCTTAATCCTGCAACACAGAACAAAGCTGGCTAGTCATGAGTACGAGAAATCTGCCCTCAGCTTGAATAGCCTGGAGCTGGCCTGTGTGAGGACAACTCACTCTGCAGTTTAGACAGTGCACCCCAGCACTCGGATTCTGGTGGAGGCGCAGGGATGTCTGCCTCAGCCTTTCAGAATAAATGATCATCTCCATTAACCTTCCACTGTTTAGATGTAAGATCTATATTTTGGAAATGCTAATGTGGCTCACACAAAAAATAACTTCATGGTCACAGAAATATGTTTTTTGTTAAAGTGGGGAAATGGGAAGCATAAGGGAACATTTCTCATAAGCCAGGCCCAGTTCTCCATGTACTCTGGACTCCCTGAGAGGCACGAATAATTATGTGGCTCACACTGCAGTCCAGGAAACTGAGGCTCTGGGAGGTAAAGTGCTGAGCTGGTCAAGGTCGGCCTCCAGAACCTACACTCCCTTACTTTTGCCCCCCAAAATAAATCCCTTCCTGCTCCTATGGCAACCTCTTGAGGCTCTCTTCCCTGAGCAGGCAAAAACCAAGTAGGAACAGAGCTCTTACTTGACTCTCTCCGGGACAGCCGCTCCTCCTGTTCCAAACTTCTCCTGCCTTCTCCGGACATCACGGGGCGGCTTGGCCACAGAGTTGACAAAGGCCATCTTTGCTTGTCGGCCTATGGAGAAATAATGGAGATTAACATCTGCCTTCTTGAGCTTAAATAACAACAGATGCTTCTGCTATTTAAATAACCTATAGGATTTTTTCTTAGAAACGCAGAGAGATTTATGTTAAGGAATTGGCTCAAGAAATTATGGGGGATGACAAGTCCAAAATCTGCATGGCAGGCTGGAGACCCAGGAAAAAGTTGATATTGCAGCCTTGAGTCGGAAAGACAGTCTGGAGGCAGAATTCCTAATCTATAGGATTTTTAAGTGCCCTGAAACCTCACTATTGAGTAGCATGGGCTATGGCACAAGAAACACCCATCTGCCTGCCTACTGCAAATGCACAAGATTTAGGGGCTGGCAGTACTACATCAGCAGGGCCCACCAACACCCTGTGCCAACCAGAGCAACCATCTTGCCATTTCTTCCCTGGCCACCCCCTCTCCTTTACCTTTGGGCTTATTGGCATGTGCAGATTGGATGTTCTTTGTTAGCAGTCGTAGCCGCTGCTCTCGGGCATCCTGAAGCCGCAGGTACATCTCCCGCCAGGACTCATACTCTTCTGGTCTTTCTTCCTTAAAGTCTCGGTGACAATGAATTTTCCATAATTGATCTGTTTCTTCAATTAACACCTGAAATCAGAGCCAGGACACTGCTTATATACATGTGTTCTTATATATCTTTTCTCCATTCTCTAATCATCTAGGAATAAACACTTTCCTAATGATTTTTTGGTCTTCATGGTCACTTTATATTAAAATACTACAATTCTACAAAAAACCAAATCACTAAATTTAAAAAATTTTAAGTGTGAGGCACTACGCTAGTTGCTTTCAGGTGATTGTGACAGAAGATAACACAAAAAATTAGTTTAAGATTAGTCTTTTCCTTTAGAAAAATCAGAAGAGTTGTACCCCCATAATATGCTAAAATAAAAAAGAAATATCAGAAGAGGGTAGAGCTGGGATGAAGATGAATTAGATACTACCCAGTGTGACACTGAACTGTGATGGCAAGGAGGCCACCTGAGAAGGATGTTGAGCTATAGAGCTCTCAGAATGAGAGAGACACAGCTAATTCTCTCTCTAATATGACCAAATGAGCAGCGTATCCACACCACAAGAAGGATTTCTGGATAGATCTCATGCCTCTAGGAGATACTGAGACACCCAGCCAGACTGTTTTGTATTTACCTGAGTGTCAATACAAAGCACTGTCCCTGTCCTGCATCCCAGGTGCTCCGCTGTCAGAATTCTCCCTTGACCTTTACGACTAGGCTCAAGGGAGGTGTTGGAACGGCCCCCTGGCCCCAATTTGAATGCCCAAGATGTCCACTTATGATGCCAGGAGCAGGTGCTAATAACACACTTCTTTAAAGGCCCAGAGGCAACCAAACATGCCCAGAACAATGCTCTGACCACTGCTCCGTCCTTCAACCATAGCAGAGTCATGGGGCTGAAGCTATTTCTGGAGACACAGCCAGAAAACTGCTCTCTTCTCACCCAAACAGGATACTCACATGATTGTATTCCTCTATACGATATAGCTGATCAGGTGTACACCTTTCCAAAACAGGTTCAAGAACAGAATATGGGACTCCTCCCACTTCAAAGATTGCTGCAGAGAAATCAAAGGTGAAAGCATTGAATAGCGGCCAAACCACCCAGTGATAAGGTCTCAGTGCTACAATGTGCTTGAGAGCTAGAGAGAAGCATGTGACTTACAATCGATGTTGTTTTTAAGTACCCGGATGCACTGCTGGTGCAAGGTCATCATTTTGGGGAGATAGGCACACTTGGAACCAGAATACACCTGCATTTTGGAATTCATTCTGCGTCCAGTGAATCCAGCTTCTTCTTCTTCCAGGGGTGAAGAGAATGCTACTGCGCAAGAAAAACCCAATAGGAAATTACAGAAGGCTCTAAGTGATACGGTAAAAATTCTCCTTCCACCCCAGTCCTCAGCCTCCAACTTCTTTCAAAGGCAACCCATGCTACCAGTTTCCTGTGGATCCTGCCAGAGACTTAAACCAATTAATAACATACTACACAGAGCACTGTTTTTATTTATCACATTTTCGAGATTGTTCCATGTCCATATATAAAGACTTTCCAACTTGTACTCCCCTAATTCTATTCTAAAAAAAAAAAATTTTTTTTTCGAGACAGTCTCACTCTGTTGCCCAGGCTAGAGTGCCATGGCATCAGCCTAGCTCACAGCAACCTCAATCTCCTGGGCTCAAGCAATCCTTCTGCCTCAGCCTCCCGAATAGCTGGGACTACAGGCATGCGCCACTACACCTGGCTTATTTTTTCAATATATTTTTAGTTGACCAATTAATTTCTTTCTATTTATAGTAGAGCGAGGTCTCACTCTTGCTCAGGCTGGTCTCAAACTCCTGACCTTGAGCAATCGCTCGCCTTGGCCTCCCAGAGTGCTAGAGTTACAGGCGTGAGCCACCACGCCCAGCCCTAAAAAATTTTTAAAGAGGAAAAATAAATTAAAAAAAGAATTTCCACATTTTTTTACAGAGGCACAGGATGCCACTGTGTGGATGAACCATGATTTATCTGTTAGTCTCTTGCTGATGGACACTTATGTGGCTTCTAATTCTTTTGCCATTAAAATTAGATATTTTTTTCTTTAAGATGAATATGATAGTTAACACTTATAGAATTAAAGGGCTGCTAATAACAGCAGTAGCTAAGATTTATTGAACAATTACTATGAAAAACCCAGAGCTAAAAGCTTTACTGGCATTACTATCACTTTTTTTTTGAGACAGGTTCTCACTCTATCACCCAGGCTGGAGTGCAGTGGCATCATCACAGCTCACTGCAACTTCAAATTCCTGGGCTCAAGTGCTCCTCCTACCTCAAGCCTCCGCAGTAGCTGGGACTACAGGCATGAACCACCATGCCCAGCTAATTTTTCTATTTTTTGTAGAAATAGGGTCTCAACCTTGCTCAGGCTGGTCTCGATCTCCTGGCCTCAAGCGATCCTCCTGCCTCAGCCTCCCACCCAGAGTGCTAAGATTATAAGTGTGAGCCACTACACCTGGCTGCATTATCACTTTTGAATCCACTAAACTGAACACTATAAGGCAGATACCATTATACTCCCATTTACAGAATATGAAACTGAGAGATCCAAAAGAAATAAAGATATTACTGAGGGTCATATAACTTATAGAAACCAGAGTCTGGGATTCAAACCCAAGCCATCAATCTCCAGGGCCTATGCTTTTAGAAATGTATCAAAAATATGATAGTATGTGATAGATCATGAATGAATTTTTAAATCCTTTTACCATTTAAAATAAGAAAATTACCTTTTCGCTTTGGTTGGAAGGAGGACATCAACTCAAGGGAAGGCAGTGGACGGTAATTGGCCATGGGTAGCGGGAGGTCTGGCAACACTGGCAACACATCAGGGACCTGCAGAGGACAGGCTCGTGAGTGGAGAGCCAGTGAGTAGGAGCACAGTTTTCCTTCCTACAGTCAATTCCTAGGAGTGTCACCCAGGCACGCTTCCCAGCAGATCCAGGCTGGAGGGGGGCACAGTAATGTCTGACAGATGGGCCCATCACAATAGGATACCTTGGAACGTTTTTTTGGACTTTTTTTGTTTTGTTTTGTTTTGTTTTTTGAGACAGGGTCTCACTCTGTCTCCCAGGCTGGAGTGCACTGGTGTGATCACAGCTTACTATAACCTTGAACTCCTAGACTCAAGTGATCCTCCTGCCTCAGCCTCCCGAGTAGCTGGGAGTATAGGCTCACGCCACCACACATGGCTAGTTTTTTTACTTTTTGAACAGATGGGGTCTCACTATGTTGCCCAGGCTGGTCTCAAACTCCAGGCCTTGAGCAATCTTCCCATCTTGGCCTCCCAAAGTGCTGGGATTACAGGTGTGAGCTACCACACTCAGCCCAGAAAATTCTTATCTGGGGTACCATCTGCCCTGACAGCTAGCAAGGCCCAGAGGAAATTACTACAACTTGAAATTCAATAGGCCATGTAAAAGCAAGCCTCCCTGTTTAGTGCCAGGGAGGACCCAGGAAGCCACCTGGGGATGAAGGGGTTACCTTTTTCAGCTTGGCTGAATCGGCTCCAGCCAGCTGCAGCTTCTCGGACTTGTTCTCGTTCACCTTAGGTAATTTCTGAACTGAGTCCAACTTTTTACTAGTGCTTTTAGAATCACTTTTTTTAAGTCCTTTTGCTCCAAGTGCTGAGGCTGAAGTTTTCACCACTTTTTTCTTTTTCTTCCGGGGCTGGTCATAGCTGAGGTAGGATTCAAAAGACATGGTGGGCTGCTCGAACTCGTCCTCCATATCTGCATCCTCACCTTTGGGGAAGGAGCCCAGTGACTTTCTATCCAAATTAGAAGTTTTTACTTTCCCCTCTTGAGTCTTTACGTTGTTAGAGACCTTCTCTTTTACCTTGGGCAACAGGTCTCCTTTTCCTATGTCTAAGCTGTCCAGACTTTGCTTGTTTTTGTCTGATTTGGTTTTCTCCGAGTCTCTGTGCTTTGGCTTTTTAAGGTGGTTGTCTGAAGCAGTCTCCAAAGGAGGCAAACACTTCTTCTTGATGCTGCTGCCCTCTCTTTCCTTCTCTTTCTTCACACCACCTGAGGGCAGCTTCTCCTTTGTGCTATCCCCTGAGGGCGGCCTTCGGTTTTCCTCTTTGGAGAGGGCCTTGTGTGATTTCTCTCTGCTCAAAGCAGAAGACCTCTCATCACCCTTGGCATCCATGAGGCGCTTTTCCTTGTGGGAAGATTTGTGCTCCTTGTTTTGATTCATAACCCCTTTTCCCTGGGGTTCACCCAGGTGTCGTTCTTGACTGACTCCCAGTCTGTCCTGAAAGGCATTACTGTGGCCTTTTCCAGGCTTCTGGTGTGAAACAATGGGCTCAGGATCCTCCTCTGGGAACCTGTAATGGTCCACATACATCTGGCGAGGACTGGTATGAGATGGAGGGGACTGAACGTGACCGTAATCAGAAGATTCATGGTCTGAGGAATAAGCTGGTGACACCCTGTGACACCTCTTTCGCTCGTCTCTCCTCTCATGACTCTGAGACACTTTGTGAGGTCTCTCGAGCTCTGAGACTTTTCTGTGTTTTTTCTGTCTGTGCTCAGGGCTAGGGCTATAGGATCGGCTACCAGAGGCTTTCCAGTTCTCTTGGTAGTCCACCTCCATCTCTTCCTCCTTCTGAAGAGCATCCCGACGGCGCTTTCGCGAGTTGTTCTTCTCAAAGTCTTGTTCATCAGGCTCAGTGTTTCTAAAATGAAAGAGAAAGATAAAAAAGATACAAATCTCAGTGTAATCCTTGTTCAGAGGACAAGTCATAGAACCTGCATTCACAAAAGAGATGAAGATGATGCAGAGTTAGGGCCAGGCACAGTGGCTCACGCCTATAATCCTGACACTCTGGGAGGCCGAGGCGGGAGGACTGCTTGAGCTCAGGAGTCTGAGACCAGCCTGAGCAAGAGTGATAGCCCCCATCTATACTAAAAATAGAAAAATTAGCCAAGCTTCATGGTGCAGGCCTGTAATCCCAGCTACTTGGGAGGCTGAGGCAAGAAGATTGCTTGAGCCCACGAGTTTGAGGTTGCTGTGAGTTAGGCTGACACCACTACCCAGGGTGACAGAGTAAGAGTCTGTCTCAAAAAAGAAAAAAAAAAAAGATTCAGAGTTAGAAACAACAAGGTCTTAGAAAGAAGGTAAGTGGGTTATACTTCATGTCCAGCTAATTGTTTTCTATATATTTTAAGTTGTCCAGATAATTTCCTTCTATTTATAGTAGAGACGGGTCTCGATCTTGCTCAGGCTTGTTCTGAACTCCTGACCTTGAGCAATCCACCCACCTCTGCTTTCTAGAGTGCTAGGATTACAGGCATCAGCCACTGTACCCGCCCTATGCTTTTTTTTTCCTTTTTTAAACACCCGTGCTGTTATAAGGGTTATGCTTAAAGATACTCAAGTTTATTTTAAAAAATTTTTTTCTTCCTTCTCTAGTCACAAAGGAAGTTACTCAAGTTTTAAAACTGGGAAAACACAAATGGGAAATGACAAGTTTAACTGCAACATACAAAGAAGATCAAATTTCTTATAGGCATGAATATTTGAAGATGTTTTTAAACACAGGGACATGATTAACTTGTTATATAAAAAAGGGCTGCCAATTATTTACCTAGTTCACAACTATATAAAAATGCCTTTTAAGAGGTTAGAAAGAAACATACCAAATTGTTAATAATGTTTATCTTTAGATGATAGAAATAAGAGATTTTTTTTTCTTATTTCCCAAAATCATGGCTTGTTGAGAAATAAGAGATTTTGATTTATATTTTTTAATGTTTTCTAATATTCTACAATGATCATGGATTATTTTTATAATTGAGGCAAAAGAAATTTTTTTTTCCTCTATACCAAGGCATCCTGAACAAGAGTTTCAATAAGAAGGCAGAAAAGGAATAATAAAGAAAAAGTTTTCAATCTGTAAATACTTTGAGTACTGGATTTAACCATGAAGTTGAACAAATCTAAAGAAAAATGATTCTTACCGTTCCACTGGAACCAGCTTCTTCCACTGAGCCACTAGGTCTCTGGCAAAGTTTCCCACATGCTCATGTTTCCGCAAGCTATTTACTGTTTTCCCAACCCCAGTCTCCTACAAATTTGACAAAGAAATTGTTAGAGGGTTATGGAACTAGGCTGACATTCTCCTAAAGAAATAAGGCCTCCTGCTTTGAGAAACGCAACAAGCAATAACACTTCCTTCCTAAAACATACAAGTCTCGACACTAAATTACTCTGTGCCTATGTCCCAAATCCCTAATGACACATAGTAGCGAAGCACACCAAGTTCAGAACAGGAAAACCACTTCTAGAACTTTAACAGTAACAACAAGAGTGATTATGGCAGATGTTAGGTACTATTAAGAGCTTTGCTTACAGTATCTGAATCAGTCTTTGTAGTAACTCTGTGAGGCAGGAATCAGCCCAATTTCACACAGAAACAGACAAAATTCAGATAACTGGGATTTGAATCCCGGGCAAGTTGATGCCAAAGTCAATGTTAATTCTTTCAAATTTTTTGAAATAAAAGTCACATAACAACTCACCATTTTAACTAAAGTGTATAATTCAACGGATTCCAGAACACTCACAATATTGTGCAACCATTACCACTACCTAATTCCAGAACATTTCCATCACCTTAAAAAGAAATCCTGTTCCTCCCAATCCCTCAGGCCCCAGCAACCATTAATCTACTTTCTGCCTATGGATTTGCCTATTCTGGACATTTCACATAGCCTTTTGTGTCTAGTTTCTTTTGCTCCAAAGCCCATGCTCTTAACCTTACCTCTACACTCTCTCCGGTGGGAAGGGGATAGGATATAAAGTTACACAACTCTTACCGCAAGAATGTCTACTGTAATCGGCAAGGTGGAGAGCTTCTTCAAATATTTCAAAAGCTGCGGAGAGAATAAAACAAACATTAATTCCAATAGTCATAATAATACCCACTGGAATAAGAATAGTATCTGACGATTAAGTGCTTACTCAGTGCTAATCATTTTATAATAATAAGCATTATCCCTATTTTACAAGTGTGATAACAGGCTCAGAAAAGTTATTTTACTCTCCCCAGGATGCAAGCAGGGCAGGATTCACTCAGGTCCATGGCTTTACATTCCCTGCTTTCAACCAGTAGGCCACACCAAGGGGAAGTAAGACAGAGAAGAGGATCAAAACCTACCAACTTAGATAAAAGTCATCAACAACTGTCACTCTGTCCCAGTGTTGACAGAGTTTATAAGAAGGATACCAATTTTAGGAAAATTCCCCATGGACCTGGCACAGAGGAAAGTGAAGAGAGAAGAGGCCTCTGCAGGGAAAGAACACCATGTTTCCAGAGGCCCACAGTGTTGAATTGGTTTTTTGATGCATAAGTGGGAAGCCAAGAGCAATTTCAAGTTGCAAGAATCAGAGCTTTGCTGTTATTGGCGAATACAAAATGCCTAGGTAGATTAAAAAAGCGATCTGGGTTTGGCCACATTTCCTTTCTATAGCCCCTAAAACTAGGTCAAAATCAGTAGAGCAGAGCTGTTAAGATGGAGTTCCAGGCCCGGCGCGGTGGCTCAGGCTTGTAATCCTAGCACTCCGGGAGGCCGAGGCGGGCGGATTGCTCAAGGTCAGGAGTTCAAACCCAGCCTGAGCGAGACCCCGTCTCTACTATAAAAATAGAAAGAAATCAATTGGCCAACTAATATATATATAGAAAAAATTAGCCGGGCATGGTGGCTCGTGCCTGTAGTCCCAGCAACTCGGGAGGCTGAGGCAGGAGGATTGCTTGAGCCCAGGAGTTTGAGGTTGCTGTGAGCTAGGCTGACGCCACGGCACTCACTGTAGCCTAGGCAAGAAAGCGAGACTTTGTCTCAAAAAAAAAAAAGATGGAGTTCCAGAGTCAGAGACAGGCTTCACGGTCTAGCTCTGTCACCTCCTTGCCAGGTGATCTTGTACAAGTCAGAAACCTCTCCAAACTTCAGGAACTGGATATTGTCTCTACTTCACAAACGGTGAGAACTCACTAAGAGAAATCATGGACAGTTCTTAGTCATAGTGCCTGCAATAGTCTGAAAGCTCAATAAATGATTATTAATGTCATTCATCAATTGACAGCTCTTGAAATATTCTACCCTTGATCTTCAGCCAGATATTCTTTAGCCAATCCCTACCTGCTCTGTTTCTACCAGAAGTCATGACTGGCTATGCCTTTCTCTAGGAAATGTTTATGTGTATATAAACACACCTACCATACAAGGAGTGCTGCAAAGTACAAATAATTAAAAATAGATAACTGGGGCTCCGTTTGCATTTAAATATTAGACAACAAGATCTGTTCTTTTTCATGTGTGGCCTAGGCTATAATTAGTATGCCATATTGCTATTAGGTGGAGTAACAAGTATGTTTCACTGGTCATTCTACTTCAATCATTACTTAACATGGTTACTAGGCAGAGCAATTGGATCACAAGTGATAATCTTTTTTTTTTTTTGAGACGGAGTCTCACTTCTGTTGCCTGGGCTAGAGTGCTGTGGTGTAAGCTTGGCTCACAGCAACCTCAAACTCCTGGGCTCAAGCAATCCTCCTGCCTCAGCCTCCCGAGTAGCTGGGACTACAGACACACACCACCATGCCCAGCTAATTTTTTCTATATATATATTTTAGTTGGCCAATTAATTTCTTTCTATTTTTTGTAGAGATGGGATTTCGCTTTTGCTCAGGCTGGTTTCAAACTCCTGACCTTGAGTGATCCTCCTGCCTCAGCCTCCCAGAGTGCTAGGATTATATGCATGAGCCAACACACCTGGCCACAAGTGATAATCTTGTTTGACAGGGAAGGAGTAAGAGGCCAACTGGTGTATCTAGGGAGTTTCATTGTCATAGTTGAGTGAAAATTATCTTCCACTTCAAATTCAATCACCACTATATCTAACTCAGGAAAAAATTTGTGTTTCTTGTAGCCCAAGCTATAGGTGCAAAGATTAATGCCAATTCATTTTCTTAAAGAAAAATTTAAAAATCACCAAAAAGGTTAAAAACAAGTTGTTCTCCCACAATGCCATTCCCTGAAAGGGGCAGGTTGGAAACATTTATATACCGTTTACTGCATGTCAGTTGCTATGCTAAGCACACACGCGTTACCTCATTTCATCCCCACCAACCAACTCTAAAAAGTGAATATAATTCTCCCCATTTTACAGATATTATAACTGAACCCAGTGAGGTTAGGTAACTTGCCTAATGAGCTAATAAATCAAATGTGTCTACCATCGGATGGACTACAAAGCCAGGAGAAGCATCCAACATAATAACACTGTCCTTAGGAAAAGAAAATAGAGCAGTAACTCATATACCTCTTGGCACACTCGGAATAAAGAAGGGCTCCTCCTCAGTATTATGCTGTTAGACAGTTTAGAGTCCACATAGTAAAGGAAGTCACCAGGGGGACAGAGTCCCAGGACTTCTACAAGGCCAGTATATAAGGATGAGGCTAGAAGTCACTGTGGGTGTGTTTATCTCAAAGCCTAGTACTAAGTGGAAGCATAAATGCTGCCTTTCTGTTTCTCTTTGAGTTAGTAGGGGTGACTTAAAAGCAGACAAAACTAAAACTCTCAAGATTTTCAAACAATTTAGCCCAACAAAAGAGAAAAGAGGCTTCACAACACCTCTATTTTCTATAAATTTCAAGAAAGAACAAAGCAATAACATGGCAAAAGCACATTGGACATCCTTAGGTGGATGAAAATTTGCTGTTATCAAAGCAGGGTACCAACTGTAGAGCTTGCAATAACTGAAAACAGACAATTGAGAAGTATCAAACATTTGCACAGTACATGCTTAGGAATCTAAGTTGTCCCTTGCACATTGCTTTTGCAAAGAGAAAAAGTGTTCTTAATGTTGACCTCCTAGTTCTCTCCCTGCCATCAAACTGTGTTCTTGGTAGTTTTCACAGTTAAAATGTAACATGGGACAGGTAACTGTTATTAGCCATGAAAATCGGAAACATGAAAACAGAAACCAAATGGCCTGGTCTGCCTGATACCTTCTCCCCCAAGTAAGCCTAGATCATAGAGGAACTCAAAGGTGAAAACAGTTACAGCACGTTTAATACCAGAAGATCCATGAACATAGGTGTGGAATCAACCCTTTGGCTAAAAATGGTTTGAAAGCAAGAAATGGTTGCAAATTCAATACTGCTATATAATCATCTTGCAATTTCACAAACAACCTGTGGGAGCTTGTTGGGTTAACAGAAGGTTGAGAGGAGCAAGGCCAGTGTGCCAGCTTGCAATTTTCTCTCTGCAGTTAACTCATTTCTGAATGCCAACTCTTATGCCCTCTGCAAAAATGATCTCTCAACATTTTCTCATCTTCATAATGCTCACTTCACAATGCAAAGCCAGAAGTTCAGGGCGGTTTTCTATCTGGGAAGAGAGAGCCCAAATACTCAAAGTATCAAATTGTTCAAGTAGGCTGAGATGCAAAATCAGCCTTTTCCTGATTTGATATTTCATGCACAAGGCTAATTTAAATTCTAGTGGAGAAATGACTATCAATACTACAGACCACTTTTCTTATCTGATAGAAATAAAGACCAAAGCGGTTAGGAAAACAAACTAGTACTCAGAAATAATAACCATTTATTAGATGTCCACAAAGGGTTATTGTAAAAAGAAACTTGTAAAATATGCCTGGCTATTAGGTACTGCAGACTCAACAGAAAACACAGCACAATTTAAAGCATTTAAGTGTTCACAGATTTAGAACTAAAATGGCTTCCTGAAGAAGTGGATCTTGTAGCCAGGAATGAGTGGGGAGAGTCAGAAAGTGACTTGATGGTGAGAAGCTGTGTGCCGCCCTTCGAAAGCGAGAAACGTCACCTAGACTAGAACAAGGTAAAGAGAAGGGGGCTCTCAAGAAAAAAGACCTGAAGCATGGCAACCTGCACCTACTGGGCACATACATTGAGCGTGGCACCTTAGCCCTTCAGTTTAGTTTTAGTAAGAGGCAGGTGAGTAAACACGCTCGCAAAGAACCGCCCCCAAGTCCACGGCCGAAGCCTCCTCCACGACTTCCTCCTCCGCCGGTCCCGGCCGACTCGCAGCTCCGGGCACCGCGCGCCCCAGCTGGAGCGCGGACCGCGAATGTCAAACGCCCGAGTGTTTTCACCCATGTATTTCGATTCAAAAAAATTTGGAACAGCCACCAGACACTCTCCTGGAGGCAACGGAGAAGCTGGATAACAAAGCTGGGCAGGGAGAAGAACGCATTAAACTTAACGTTCAGTTTTAAGAACTCAACAACAAAAACTAGTTAAGTACAATGAAAATGGTTGCCCATCACTCGAACGACGAGCAATGGAAGCTCCTACTTTTCCATTCACGCCAGAAGGCGATCTAGCTGCAACTTCTACCCCACCCCTCCTTTCTCAATTCCGACCGAAGTTTTAGGAGCAGGCGAGGTGACGGCGGCTTTACCCTGCGTGGAAAGCGAAAGGTCCTGCTCTAACGTCCAGCCAGAAGCAATAAAGACGTGAGTGGGAGACGCAGGACCGCACGCCGGGCCGAGGCTCCTTCGCCACAGGCGGCACCTCCTGCTCCTCCTCGCGACGAACGTCCCGGGACCCAGACGGACCTCGGAGCCGAGTCGCGGGGACCGACCGGAGCCGGCGCCGCAGGACCCGCGGGCGGGCAGGGCAGCTCCGGGCCGGCGCTTCCCGCGCCCGCGGCGCGCCCCGCCGACGGGAACCAGCTGGCGCGGAGCGAGGGAGCGGCTCGGAGCCGCGGGGCACGCGGTGTCCGCACCGGAGCGCGCCCGGCCGCCCGGAGCCCGCGGGCGCCCCGTCCCGGGCCGGGGCGGAGGCGGGCGGCCGCCGAGTCCCGCCGCCCGCCGTGGTCCGCCGCGTGGGAGCGGCCGCGCCGCGAACCTGGCGACCCAGCGCCGCGAGCCCGGCGGGCCTGGCTCCGGGTCCGAGCCCCCGCGGCCCCGGTGGGTCGGGAACCGGCCGCGCCCGGCCCGCGGACCGTTACGGGCCCGCGCCGCGCCCAACGCCCGCCGCGCTCCGCGCCGCCCGCCCGCTCACCTTCTTAGGGTCCGGGTTCGCGGCCAGGCGCGCCTGCAGCTTCTCCACAACTTGGAGCGCCGACTCCGCCGCCATCGCTGTCACTGGCCGGCCTCCTCGCCGGAACTGGGCTCGCGTCGCGTCCGCGGGCCGCAGCTCCGCCCTCCGTGCATCCCCGGCGGAGACGGAAGCGCGACTGGCCCCTTCCGGGCCTCGGCTGGGGGGCGCGGGCGAGGGGGGCCGGCCGGCCGCAGGCCCCGCCCCCAGGCCGGGGGCCGGGTCCCCTGTGCCACCGCGCCCACCCGCGCCCGCGCCCGCCTCGCGCCCCGGGCCCAGGTGCGCGCCGGGAGCCTGGGGCCCCGCGGGCCGAACGCGCTGGCCGCAGCGGGGCGACCCGCTTCTGGTCCTCGCTGTGCGGAGCTGAAGCCTCTGGAAGACCTCAGTGTAGAGTCCAAGACGGAATGAGGCCACAGCGCTAGAGCCCGGGCTTATAAAACCTACCCAGGCCCCCACGGGGCTGCGAGCCACGCCCTAAGTAACACCTGTCAGTGGTCCCTGGCTGGTGTCTGGCTCAGGGAATCAGTCGCGGTACCAACGACAGCAGCCCACCTGGGTTGAGCCACTGCGCACCAGCAGTTGGTCTATCTTTTTAAGCTCGATACAAACTGATGAGACGAGTTATATTATCCCCATTTTACAGACGAGAAAACTGAGGCTCAGGGAGATGAAATTAACTTGCAAGTGGTCACATAACAGGAAAGAAGTGAAAATGGAATCTGAATCTTAGAAATTTAGGTCCACTATAAGCGCACATTTCTCGATAGGTTGAGAAATTGAAGCCCAGAGAAGGAAAGGTGAGTCAAAAGTCAAAAACAGCTTAGTTCTGTGAGGCAGTAATAGCCTGTGTGTATCGTTTTCCCCCAAACAACACCTGGCACATAGGCACCAAATAAATACTTCTTGAATGAATGGATGGATGGATGGATGGATGGATGGATGGATGGTTTTTAAAACCTCTGATAGGCTGGGCGTGGTGGCTCACGCCTGTAATCCTAGCACTCTGGGAGGCTGAGGCGGGCGGATTGCTCGAGGTCAGGAGTTCGAAACCAGCCTGAGCGAGACCCCGTCTCTACTAAAAATAGAAAGAAATTAATTGGCCAACTAAAAATATATATACAAAAAAAAAAATTAGCCAGGCATGGTGGCACATGCCTGTAGTCCCAGCTACTCGGGAGGCTGAGGCAGGAGGATCGCTTGACCCCAGGAGTTTGAGGTTGCTGTGAGCTAGGCTGACACCACTGCATTCACTCTAGCCTGGGCAACAAAGTGAGACTCTGTCTCAAAAAAAAAACTTCTGATGATCTGCCCATGAGCAGGAGGGCCTAAATCAGAACAGCCCAAGACACTGTTCTTGAGGCCACTTACCCTCATCCTAGAAGCACTAAATTTTACGATTATTAGTATTACTACTAAAAAGAGCAACTAAACAGTGGAAAATTGACTTAGAATACCAGCATGTATCTCATTTTGATTAGATCAGAGTAGATCCTAATTAGATCTTCAGCTGTTGGGCAGGACTAGGCAGCTCACACCTGTAATTCTAGCACTCTGAGAGGCCAAGTTGGGAGGAGGACTTGAGATTAGGGGTTTGAGACCAGCCTGAGCAAGAGTGAGATCCCATCTCTACCAAAAATAGAAAAATTAGCTGGTCGTTGTGGCATGTGCCTGTTGCCTCAGCTATTTGGGAGGCTGAGGAAGGAGGATTGCTTGAGCCCAGGAGTTTGAGGTTGCTGTGTGCTAGGCTGATGACCCAGCACTCTAGCCCAGGTGACAGAGGGTGACCCTGACTCAATAAAAAAATTTTTTTAAACAAACAATCAAAAAACAGATCTTCAGCTGCAAACTGACAATGCACCTAGCCTGACCTCTTCCCCAAAGCAGGAAAGCCCAAAGATTCTTCCAGGTCCCAGCTCTGGAAGAAAAAACAAAAACAAAACAAAAAAAACCCCCCAAAAAACTCATGAAAACAAAACACAACAAAAACCCTTAAATATAAGTTGTCTCTTCCAATGAACATTCATTCACTGACTGTGCTAAGAAGCCCTCCCCACCATGTCCCACTCCTGCATCTGGTGCCCCTCCCCAAGTTACTTAAGCAACTGACCCTTTTCAGGATGTAAATTGTCTATCTGTCTTGCCACTGGGCTTTGTATTTATCAAGTACAGTAACCGACCTGTCCAGATTTTAATCTCTGTCAGCAAGCATAATACAGACAATATAATCAGCAGTGGATATAAAGTCTATACAAAATTAATGACCACCCACTTGGGTGGTTAGTCGGGTGTAATGAAAAAGAGATTGAACTGTGTGTGAGGAGACTTGGATTCCAGTCCCAACAGTAGAGTCTCCCTTCTCTGCACGGCAAATGCTTTTCCATTTTAAAGTCCTTCCATTTTGAAAATGTAGCACTGATATAATGGAATACAGGCCGATTCTTGAAGCAGAATTGCTGACTAACTGACCTGGCACATGCTTGGGATACATGGGACATTTTGCAAATGTTAAACAGGGAGATCTCAACAACCAAAATGAAAAGAAACAATGAATGCTGCTGGGGGCTCCTGGAGAGGGTGTATCACCCCCTGCCCCGTCTATGTCAGCCTGAGTCAGGCTTACCTGCAAAGTACTCTTACATTTGAATATATGACTTCTCAGATGAGCAGTTAATTATATATGAGTCATACTCTAATTTTTTTTTAAAAGTTTTTAACCAGTTCTAAAAATGGTACTCTGTATGAATTCACCGGGGAATTACCATTGTAATCCTTGGTTTACACAAGGGCGTTGAACACAGGAATGAGTTCCCCTAAGGTTGGAGGCTGTTTTGTCCACCTTGAATCAGCAGTATTTAGCACAGGGCTGACATTCAATAAAAGTCTGTTGAAAACTGAACTAATTATTATTACATTTACAGCTAGCCCAGAGAATTACCTGAAAACCTGAGAGAGGCTCCTGAGCTCTCTTATCAGCACTATAGAGCCCCCTGAGAGTAATTAAAAGACCTATTGGTTCTGCCCAGAAGACATGTTTAAAGCTATAGTGGGAGAGAAAGCCAGGCAGGGAGGCTCTTATCTTCTGCTTTGTACACTTTTTGAGTTTTTATAGCAAGTGTGATGTACTTTTATCATGAAAGTAACTTAAGGGTATTTTAATTTTGAAAAAAGAGTAATTCCAGGCTGGCTAGTATATGGGTGATTTAAAACACTGAAAGACAAGTAAAAATAAAAATCAGCCATCTTGTCCTCTATGGCAGAAAGGAACCCTTTAATGGAATGGTCGAGTGAGATTCTACAGGCAGGACAGTGTGCTGAGGGATTCTGCTTTGAGCAGGTGTCCCCCTTGGACCTCTCCTGCCGGGCTCTGCCGCTGTATCTCAGCAAGTGGGCAGCATCTGAGGTTGCTTGGATGGTGGGTGCATGAACAGAGTCAGAGCTGAGTTCCAAGCCCAACTCAACCAATGCTAACCATGGCTCCTGAGCAAGTTACTTAAACTTGCTGAAATTGTTTCCTCCCACTTTATAGATTTCTTGTGAGGGTTATGAATATGTTAAGTAATTGGCATATAGTAGGTATTTTTGAAAAAGCAGCAATTATTAGGGAAAATGCATTGCCTTGGTAAAGAGAATATTGTGTTCTGCTGTAAAGCAGGATATAAAATCCTCCATCTGGGCAGTTTTATTCTGCCCAGCTGTAGCCACTGTTCTCTTCCCCACGGGCTCATGTTTCTGAATTGACTACATTCATCTTTGTTTCACATCCTTCAAATATGTTCAGTTGGTTATTTACTTAGGGATGGCATCTTTCTGGGCTTCTCACATTGGATTCACTCACCCTCCTCAAAGATATTAATAGTAATGCAAGTGGAGACTGCCAGCTCTAGGAAATAGTGCTGAGATTCAAAATCCACACATTTTGCAGGATGCCTTTAAATTGGATTAAACATTCCACTAACAATTTAAGGATGTCAGACCTAGATACCCTCTTAGGCCCTTTGTGGAAAGAGGGTAGAATGTAGCATTCTGCTCTCAGGAGAGCAGTGGATTGAGAATAGTGTTTACCAGGTTAAAAAATAACAAGTATACTTTGACACTTTTAAACCTTATGTATTTATATAAATTGTATCCAGGTAGTAACCTACATGCCTTCCCTTAGCTCTTTGTTTTGTTACAGCACTTAGCACAACTTGAAATTACCTTATTTAGTGGTGCATGTTTTTATAGTCTCTTTCCATTATGTAAGCTCCACGAGGCATTACTGTGGCTAAAACAGTGCCTGGTACCTAGCAGGCACTCAATAAATATTGACTGAGTTGCAAGAAAACTCCACTTCCCAGCATTGTTGAATGGATTAAATGAGATTATGTGTAAAAACACCTGGTAAAGCGCTCCCCAGCAATAATGTTATCTTGGTTAATCTTCACTATCCATTTTACTGATGAGAAAATTGATGCTTAGGAAATTTACATGACACCAGGCCCTCAGCCCCAGATTCTGGTCTTTGCTGAGAATGCCCCTGGAACAACGTTGTTAGGAAAAATGTGAACTAAAGGCAACTAGCCTAGAAATGATAGGGAGAACAGGAAAAAGAACAAACGGGTGTGGGGAGGCAGAGGAAGAAGGAGCAACTGACTGATTTCATGGACTGTTATGTTTTCATCCCAAATCTTGGCTGAGGTCTGTGAACTCTCTGAGTTTGGGTGTCCACAGATGACAAATTCTAAAAGGGGTCTGTGTCTCCCTCCTCCCTTAAAAACAAGAATGAAAGATTGAAACCCACTGAATTAAGTAGGGAAGAGGAAAGGGGCACACAGAGGAGGCTGTTGGTTTAGTGCCTTTTCAGAGGCCCAGCTCTGTGCTGTCATCTCTCTACCTTCCAATAATCTCCTGAGGCATTTTAAGGAGCACTCAAGGCTCAGAAAGGCTAAGCGACTAACTTATCCATGGTAAATGACAAATCCAAAATGTGATTCAAGGTCTGCTCAGCAACAAAGCCCACTCTGGCCTGCATTCCACGTCTGAACACCTGGGGCCTGGGCAGCCCTCCCCATCCCTAACACACTATATGACTCTGGCCAGTGCCCAGGGCTGGTTCCCTGCCTGGTGACAGTAACAGTAACAATGACAACGATGATGATACTACTACCAATTCTT